AGATATAGATTTTTGGATTTTGATTATCATTATTGAACTAATTTCTAAATTTATATTATAAAATTTATTTATAATAAGGTATAACATAATTTAAGTTAAAGATAAAACCATAAAAATATCATAGAATAAAAAAGTATTATATTGAGGAAGGAATTGAAAATTCAAGGGCAAAAAAGGCATTGTGCCAGATAAAGGATGGAAAATGACTATTGTTTAAAGTTGAGGGGGGATTTTGATTTTTAAAGCAAAGTTAGGGGGGTAAATAATTTTCACCCGATTTTTATTTTAATTAATCATTTGTTGTTAATAATTATTTTGTGATAATCCTGATGTTAAAGGGATATTATGAAAAACAAAAAGTGCGACTCTTGTTTTTCTTAATCTTTTTTTTTAATCGACCAAATCTTTATTCATTTGAGGAAGAAAGCTCTACATTGGAGAAGGGGAACTTGTCCGGGGCTACTCAAGTACATGTGTGGCCTAAAGCCAAAGTTTAATATGAGGCCTAAATTTTTAAAAGAAAGTTATGAGTATATTTTTATTTGAAATCTATTTCTCTAACTTTTTGAGATGCAAAGTTGATAATAGTTTTTTTATAATCAATTTTTTTAATAATTCCTTTTCAATTGATAATATATTCAACCCATTTAATTTTTCTTAAAATGTTGTTAATATTACACTAAGATCCGACGAGAATTTACACTAAGGTTGTTGATCTTTTCTTTGAGCAACTATTATTGAAAAACTCTGCTTTTGCCCAAAGAGCATTGATTGCCCCTCTACCTAGTTGCTAGTGCCCGTTCCCCCCAAAAAAAAAAAGAATATGCTAAGATAAAGTTCCAATTACAGTCACGGATAACTCCTCCAGCTCCACATGCTTCTGGATTTCATGGTGTTTTTATTTATCATATAATTATTGTTGTGATACTAATATTATCTCCTTTTTGTCCTTTTGTCTTCTTTTTTTTTTGAGCCGAGGGTCTTTCGGAAACAGCCTCTCCACTCCTTCGGGGTTGGGGTAAGGCCTGCATACACACTACCCTCCCCATACCCCATTAGTGAAATTTTACTGGATTGTTGTTGTTGTTGTTGTAGGGGTGGCTTTGTCCATTTCACTAACTTACACATTGTATGATTGATCGATTAACATCTGCATCCTTTCCCAACTTAGTTTCTTTCCCAACTTAGTTTTATTTGCAGTCAGTGGCGGAGCCACCTTATAGGAAGGGGGTCAAATGACACCCCTTTGCGGAAAAAATATACTGTGTACGTAGGTAAAATAATAAATTTATATGCATGTATGCTATGTATTGACTCCCTTTAATTTTTTGATATATTTATTTTTATATATTTTGACACCCCTTGATAAAACTTCTGGCTCCGCCACTATTTACAGCCTTCCAAACTTGATTTTAACAATCTACGAAAGGTTTAGAAGGATCAACGTCGTAGACCTATGGATAGAAGGGAGCTCCGACCCATATTTGCTCGCACATCTTGATCTCCACAATTCCCATATTATTACTGGAGGTAACACTTTGGGTATAAATGTTGCCACTGTAGCAATAGCATGTTGCCACTAGCTGAATCCTCATCCTTGACACTCTTTCATCTGTTGGAACTATGTTGCCCTCCAGGTGAGGAATGCCATTTTGGAAGGCACTGACTTTTTCCATATATTCAAATCAATCATATATCGCCCCCTTTTATGTCTTAGAATGCCTAAGCGGAAGCAATTGTGAAAGTCCCTATGATATCTGGCTTCTATATTGGTTTATCATCACACAATTCAAGCTCCACCTCATGCAACACCTCTTTGATTGATTCAGGCCATTACATCTTAGTGTTGTCTTCTCGCCACTCACCATTTAGGAAGACCTCTCTTAGTTTGATGTCTTTAGGTCTTTCCTCATATGCTAGATGAGTATATAAAGTGGGCCACTGGAGCTCAATTATTATACCATAAAGACAATGTCTCCATTTTTCACTAACCATACCATGTGTTCCTCTACTTTATCTCTAATTTTATATATTTGTCTCCAACTATGAGATGATTCTTTTCCCGTCTCTTCGCAAGAAGATGCACCGTCCTGCAAATATTTTGCTAGCATGAAATCTCTCCACAAGGAGTCCCATGTCCCTAACTTCCACCAAGCCTTTACTGAGAAAGCATTACATATATCATGTAGCCTCTTAAAGGTAGCTCCTCCCTCTGCATATGGGTAATACAAGTTTGACCATGATTGTCACGTCCCGACCTCGAGAAGTGCGAATTGCGCTCAATCGAGATAACCTGGCCAAGCAAGCATGTACAATGTCTTCTACTCAGACTCGCCCATGAATAAAGAGAAGGTATATATTTTATTAATTAGACAACGAGAAGGTTACATGAACAATCCAAATTTCATTATCGTTAGAACTTCATTCAAGATTCCCCAAAATATTACATTACACATTCATAGTTTAGAAGTGAAAACATATGATATAAATACAACATTTCTAATTTGACAACAAGGCTGATGGTGCCGGCAACAAGACTCCGGCTATACCTCAAAATAATATGCATAGAGGACAAGAGATACAAGACCCCGAAATAAAATGGGGCTCACCAAATCAGCCGAGGAGAGGGTGTGTTGCTATCACTAATCAATACCACCTTCTATGGAACCACCTCCATTCATTAAAGATGCAGCACCCCCGGCAAAGAAGACGTTAATACATATAGAATAGTACTAGTATATAAAACTAAACACCCTCTCAATAGAACCGGTAACAGTAAAAGGAGAAGGAAACATGAAATCAATAAGAGCCTCAAATAGTATCAAGGTGTCAAGTTAGGAGAAAAGTAAATTTCAAGTAAGTTTCAACATTTTTAAGTTGGGAGATCTTTAGTACCGTTATACCACCGTACTTTTAGCATGGAGTCCGATCTCAGCCCGATCGGCTAAGCCATCTCACCCCGAGACATTCAATCACAACACCACCATATGCACGACATGACGTCTGATCTCGGCCCGACCGGCTAAGCTGTCTCACCACAATATCATGTGGGTCGACATCACATCACATCTTGCTAGCAGTAATCTCATCCCATATAATGGAAATTATCTCAACACATCAATCTCAGCCCATATAAAGGAAACAATCTCATCACATCAATATGAAAATTTACCCTTCAATCACTCCTACACCGGCACGTGTAATTTTGGGGTTAGGTTATTTCGACCTACCCTTTCTCGGTGACTAAACGATACTCCCAAAGTATTTATTATTTAAAAAATTTACAACTCATTTCATAATCCTTCACACATCTTTCCATTTTATTGACACTAGTGGCCATAATTGTAATATCATTCTCGGCACGTCGGCCATATTTCATATTTCGTACTCACCCCTATAACTTTCATGTGTTACCAAGGATTATCATCAATAAGAGAATTTTAAAGCAGGACCTTAAGTACACATATGAGCAAACAAGAGTCTTAAGCACATTGAGTTTCTCTACCACGATTAGGCATACTAGCTTGCAATTGAAACATGATTTTTAAATCGCAATACCTTTGATACATTGATCATACTAGATTACATTCTCGGAAGGAATCATGATATGATAGGAACATTTGGAACACATTTTGGGTATATACATCTTTTCAACACAACACTTATTTTATGGTAATCAACTCTATTAGGAAGGACTCGGAACATGAGACATAAGAAATTGAGCCAAACATAATCGCAACTTATGAGGACATCATGAAAATCGATTCTACAAGAGGAGTTTAGCCAACATACCTCACTTGAGCTTTCTTAAATTACTACAATATTTCGAAAATTCTAGCGACTTCAATCTATAAGAAACATGACCAATTCAAACCATAATTAGAAAGATACTCGGGGTTTCAGCTCATTTGAGCATTTTATCACGCACTAGATGTACATTAAGGTTTCAAGGTCCTCCTATGGTGGATTCCTTTACCCCACAATCAATCACCACTTCAATAGGCCACCCATAAATACTCCACAACCTTCCTACCACCTTTATTAGTACATGCATGCATAAATAACAACTCTTATTCTCAAAACCTTCTTCCTCATTACCTATTCCCAACCCAAATTTCGAAATTGAAGGTTGGGGCTCGAAATTCTGTTGCAGCATCCTAATCCACCTAGCTATTATGTTTCATATATTATTCGTTATCCCATGAGCTATTATGGAATAACTTTTAGCTTTACTCACCATTTGGCCAAAAGTTTTTTCATACACTACTAATGTTTTTATCATTTTCTTGATGATTTTCTTTTTGCTAGTGATGAAAAGTATAAGGTCGTCTGCAAATGCTAAGTGATTTATATGAGGACCCCTCTTATTCATAGCAAATCCACTAAAAATTCATGATCATATAGGTTGTTCAACATTGTAGATACTGAGTTAGAAAAATGAGAGGTGTATGATATGATTCTCTCTCGGCGTAGTTTAGCAAACTTACGTCACTCATGGGAAAGAGAGCTCGGATTCCCTCTCAGAAAGCTATAATGGCGCAGGCCACTACTGCGCGAAGCACTGCACAGGTGAAATCGAATGGGAATCAAGCTGGTATGAGTAAAAATCTGTGCAATTCTAAGAAATTGGAACAATTGGAAATTGAAAAGGCGAGTGTGAAGGTTTTGTCGGAGGCTGAGCAATTCGCGACTTCAGTGGAACAAGTTGCTAAACCAACAGAAATTGAACAAGTATCGAGCTCTAAATTGAGGCAGCAGCCGAAAACTGAAGGTATAGCAAATCCATATGGTGAGGTTACTGTTCCATTGCATGTAGCAACAGAGCAGCCACGGTTGCGAGAAGGAGTGAGGGAAACTGATTCAATAGGAAAGGGTAGGATATCCTGGGCTGATGAAGTTGAGGCGGAGGAAGAATTGTTGAAGAAGCTTTGATTTGGGACAATTTTGACATTACCAAAGTCTCAAATGCAGGTTTCAAACTGGACTTTCTAGCACCAGAAATGCATGGGAAAATACTTGTTTGTGAGATTGAAATTAAGGATATTAGGACCGAACTGACTTATTGGAAGAATGCAGTAATGTGTTATGTACTTGGGGTACATCCACCCTTTGCAGTGTTAAATGGATTTATCCAGAGAATGTGGGCAAAACATAGAATAAACAAGATATCTATGCTGAAAAATAGGATAGTACTAGTTCGATTTGATATTGAGATGGGGGAAAATGAGATGTTACAAGGGGGGATATACCGTTTTGACAACAAGCCCTTCATAGTTAAAGCTTGGGATCCTAATATGGAATTCAATAGAGAAGAGTTATACTCGGTTCCTATATGGGTGAAACTACTAGGATTAGACTTCAAGTATTGGAGTCCAAAAGGGCTTAGCAAAATTGGAAGCTTAATTGGTAAACCTTTAATGGTTGATCATCAAATAGAGAAGAATATAGGCTTAAACTTTGCTAGACTTCTCATTGAAGTTGACATAGATGGTCCATTATCAAAGAAGATAATGTTTAAGAATGAAAGAGGTAATTTGGTCGAGCTGAAAGTTCAGTATGACTGGAAACCTATTTTGTGCAAATGTAGCAACAAGTATGGCCATAATGAGGAAGCTTGTAGAAGGAAGAAAACAAAAACTCAACAGAAGAAAATAGGGGATCAGGCAAATAAAGTAGCTAAGGGGAGAAGGGCAAGGAGAAGACAGGAGATAACCTGATCATTTGGACTACATGGCAAGTCGCAATGAGGCAGGCTAAAAAATACCTCTCTCAGGTAATGGATAACATCTTATGCTGGAATATTAGGGGTCTTAATGGTCTTAATAAGTAGAGAGAAGTTACAATCCTCTGCAATAGTGAGAATATAGGTCTGCTTGGGTTGGTTGAAAATAAGGTTAAGGCTAGTAGAATTACTAAGGTGGTGACCAAAATGTTTAGGGGTGGAATTTTTTAATCATTTAGAATGCTATTATAATGGTAGAATTATATAGGTATGGAGGCCGAATTACTTTCATGTTACACAAATGAGCAGCAATGCACAGGCTGTGACATGTCATGTAATGCATTGCACCTTAAAGACTTATTTTGTACTTACTATGGTATATGCCTATAACATAAGAGAAGGAAGAAAAGAGCTATGGGGTTACCTGAAATCTATCAGTCAGGGATGTAAAATGCCCTGCTGCTCATGGGGGACTTTAACTCAATATTGAATATGGAAGATAGGATAAGAGGGAGTCTAGTGACACTGCCTGAGGTAAAGGATTTTCAGCAATGTGTTACTATATGTGGACTGATAGAACTTCCCTTAAAGGGGAGCAGATATACTTGGAGTGACAAGCGGGGGAAGGGGGGGGGGTAGTAGAGTGTACTCATAAATAGATTGGGTGTTTGTAAATGCAGATTGGTTGAATACCATGCCAGATTTTGTAACTATGTTCAAGCTAGAAGGGATCAGTGATCACTGCCCTATAAAGATTGAGCAAATCAAGAATGAAAAGAATTCAAAGAAACCATTTAAGTACTATAATATATGGTCAAGTCATCTAGAGTTCCAGACTAGAGAATCACAGGTGTGGCAAATACTTGTAGAAGGGTGTATGATGTTTTAAGTAGTTAAAAAACTAAAAATGCTAAAACAAAGCCTGAAGGACTTGAACAAGAAGTACTTTAAAGACATTGAGGCTGAGGCAACAAAAGATAGAGAAAAAAATGCTCTTGGCACAATTGGCATTGCAAGACAATCCCTTGGACCAGAGATTGCAAGAACAGGAAAGGGAAAGCTACCTCAAGTTCATGAGATCATCATACTTGGCAGAAATATATTTGCAACAAAGTAGCAAGGCAAGCTGGATCTAACTAGGAGATGACAATACAAAGTATTTCTATGCAGTCATCAAGCATAAAAAACTTCAACAATTAATAGTTCAACTGAAGGACAAAGAAAGTAGACTACAGACAGAACCTGAGAGAATAGCCAACATATTTGTAGAATCCTATCAAGACTTATTTGGGAGGAAAGGTAAGTAAAGAACTAAGGCATTTAGCAACTTCCTGCAGAATGGAAATACCTTGTCAGTGGATTAACAACTAGAACTGGTGAAGGAATATACTGGGAAGGAGGTGAAGAAGGCAATGTTCAGTATTGAAATCAACAAGAGCCCAGGGCTTGATGGTTATGGGAGTGATTTCTTTAGAAAAGCATGTAACATAGTAGGGGGAGGTGTAACAAAGGCAGTCTTGCAGTTTTTGAGAGATGGCAGACTACTAAAGCAACTTAATACAATCATAATTGCCCTGATTCCTAAAGTCCACGATCCTTAGTTGGCCAGTAAGTTCAGGCCTACCTCTTGCTGTAATGTGATCTACAAGTGCATTTCAAAAATGCTATGCACCAGATTGAAGAAAGTATTACCACACCTAGTAACTGATACACAAGCTGTATTTGTGGAGGGGAGATCCTTAATTCACAATGTTTTAATTTGTCATGATTTACTTAGATACTATAATAGGAAAATAACTCATTTATGCCTCATGAAGATTGATCTGAAAAAAGCTTATGACATGGTTAGCTGGGATTTCATATAAGAAGCTCTGCTTGGGTATGGCTTCCCATGTTCTTTTGTTCAGTTAGTTATGACATGCATAACCTCGACTAAGTTTTCTATGAAGGTGAATGGTGAAGGACATGGCTACTTTGAGGGAAGGAAAGGATTGGGGGTAAGGGGATCCAATTTCTCCTTTACTCTTTGTTCTAGTGATGGAATACTTATCCAAAATCATGAAGAGAATGAGTGGCCTCCTTGATTTCAAATTTCATTGAATGTGTAAGAGACTCAAACTCACTCATCTAGTATTTGCAGACGATCTTATGATCTTCTGCAAAAGGGATAAAAGGTCTATTCAAAGAGTCATAGAAGTACTGAATCATTTCAGCAGTGTCATTGGATTGGTTGCAAATGCAGATAAGTCAAACATATTCTTGGCAGGGCTTGCAAGTGAAATGTAGGAGGAGAGAATTGCAATGACAGGGTTTGTACTAGGAACATTCCCTATAAGGTACCGGCGTTGCCTTTGTCTTCAAAGAAGTGGAGCAAGATGGAATGTCAGCAGTTATTAGACAAAAATACAGAAAGGATCACAAATGCTTACTCAAGGCATTTGTCTTATGCAAGATGGTTACAAATTATAAATGTTGTCTTATTTTCAATATATAACTTCTGGGGAGCAGTCTTTATTCTCCCGTTTGTCTGCTCAAAGCAGTTGACAAAAGATGTAGGGACTACTTATGGGGTACATAAGAGGAACACAAGAAGGTAGCATTGGTGACTTGGGAGAATGTGCATAAACAAAAAAAGTATGGAGGATTGAACATAAAGGGATATAACAATTGGAACACAGCCTCAGTGGAAAAACTACTCTAGTAGTTAATTGAGAAAAAAAGATTCACTTTGGGTGAGGTGGGTGCATGGCATATACATAAAGCAAAATGATACCATTTGGAACCATAGCCCTCCAGTGGATAGCAGATGGTATTGGAGGAATCTTAATGCACTTAAGGAAATCATGGCACAATGGTATCAGAGTGGTAAATACACTCTCACATCTAGTGGACAATATTCAGTAACTCAGAACTATAATGCACTGTTGACTGAACTGGTTAGATGTAAAGTTGTTGATCTAGTATGGACCAAAGTAATGCAGCCAAAGCATAGGTTCATAATTTGATTGGCCAATTAAAACAAATTGCTCACAAAGGAGAGACTACAGCACCTGCACATAACATTGGCAGACAATACATACAGCTTATGTCGGAATGGAGTAGTGGAAGCAATGCAACATCTGTTTATAGATTGTCAATGGATAAGGGAAATGAGAAATGAGCTAAGTCAATGGCCATGGGAGTTACACAAAACCGGAGTTACACAAAACCTACATTGGTTGAAAATCAGAAAATGGAAGCAGATGAAGAAAGAAGTAGTGGCAGCCATATGGGAGGCAGCGATCTACCGTATAAGCAGGCACGAAATTGGAGGATATTCAGGAACACAATTGTGAATAAGGACCTTGCAATTGCACAGCTAAAAAAAGAGCTCAAATACAGATTAGAGAATATAGAGATATGTAGGAAACCAGGGTAATGTAGACAATTACTGATCAGGTTATGTAATTAGAAAGAAAATAGATAGAGGTTAGTGTGTGTAGTTGGCAGAATTTTTCTTGTTTTTTATCAAATGTATTTTGAGGCCTAACTGTAGAGTTGAGTGTACTATATTTATAGGAGCTCAAGAGATGTACTAGTTTATTTTGTTAATGGTAATATTTTACATTTATTATCAAAAAAAATATTGTAGATAACAGTTCTACATTGATGACAAATAAACAAGGTGAGATAGGATCTCCTTGTCTCAATCTAATCCCAGACTTGAAGAAATCATGTCTCTAACTATTACAATGATAGATTACCAGTTCCCTGAGATATATCTGCGTATCAAATCAACCCAATACTCCGAAAAGCCCAACTTTGTCATTATCTGGTAGAGATATGTCCAGGACACTCTATCATATGCCTTGACCATATCAAGTTTCATAACTATATTTTTCTACTCCTTTGATTTTCAAAAGCCACTTATAATTTCCTGTGTCAACATTATATTTTCTGAGATTTGTCTCCCTTTGATAAAACGGACTGATCAACTGAGATAATCTTGGCAATAATCTAAACCAGCCTAGCATTAAATATTTTAGATATGATTTTGCTAGAAACATTGCATAGGCTGATATGCCTGAGATCTGATAGCTTCTGAGGGAACTCGACCTTAGGTAACATCACCAAGCAGGTGTGAGAGAAAAATTTGAGGATAGTTGCTCCATTAAAAAAGGCCAACACAGCATTTTGTACATCTCCAGCAATAATGTTCCAGCAACTCTGAAAGAGTAACGCATTTAGCCCGTCTGGACCTGGAGCACTAGCTGGATCTATGGAGAAGACACTTCTTTTATCTCCTCCAAAGTGACCATGGCGATTAACATCTCATTATCCTCATCTGATAATTTCGGAGTAATGAAATTTAATGCAAAGAAATCATTTGGCACAATACGGTGGTTGAAAACTTTCTGAAAATAATTTATGGCAGCTTTAGCAATTTCACCTTCTCCCTCCCTCCAGTGTCCTCCTTCATCTTGAATCTTCTGTATGTGCAATCTTCTTTTTCACCCCTTTATGACGCTATGAAAATAAGTAGTATTTTTATCACTTTCTTCTAGATAGAGCCTTTGCTTTCTGCCTCAACTCCTCCTCTTGTAATTCCAAGAAATGAACATATTTGTCCTTTGCTTCATTTAGTTCTGCTCTATGTGCCGGAGTATTGTCATTAGAGTGTATAGTCAAATATCTGTTTCTCTAACCGTTTCGGCTCTTCATAGATATCCCCAAAGGCTTGCCTTGACTAGGTGCTCAGTTTTTTGCTAACCCTCTTCTATTTCTGATGCGGAATCCATAAAGCATTGCCTTCGACATGCTTTTTGCTATACTTTTTGCACAACAGTTAGAAAGTTTTCATGTTTCGTCCAAAAGTCAAGAAACTTAAAGTACTTAGGATAGGTTGCAGTAACTTTTCTCAAATTAATCAGTAAAAGAGCAGATTTGAGCAAACTCTAGCTAGATATTAAATTGAAGTTTCAGTGAAAACATCAGACCAGTATACATTAAACAAGA